AATTAGGTAAATAACTAATATTTGAAAAAAATTTAATTTAATTGATATTTCAAAAATATCAATTAAGTCCTAAATAAATTTTTTTTTTTTTTTTTTTTTTTTTTTTTTTTTTTTTTTTTTTTTACCCATAAGCACAAATGCTTTGGGAGCTCCAACGATAAAATATTTTAATTACTTGCCAAAGTTACATCATTTTTATTACTATTGTTCTCGGGAGTAGTGCCATGCTGCGGCTCTAGATGACAATTACATATATTGTAACTATTGAAATGGGAGAGCTTTGGAATGGGATAAGAAAATTATCAAAGACTATGGCCAATTTAACTCCAATAGCTACGAAGGAGAGAATTTATTGGTCTTTATGAACGTGGGGAAGTATAATGAAACTGTCTATTGATATCAAGGGGCGAGAATTAATATATCCGATTTATCAGTACTATTATTCAATCTTTTAATCTTTTGTAGTGCCACAGGGGGATTAGTCGCTTGACTATGTAAAACTCCGCGTAACCTACGAAAGGCTTAGTCGAAAGAAAGCGCTTAGTTTTGGTCAGTTTTTTATGTTCGTAGGTAAGTAAATTGTGATTATGCCTTTGAAGATTAATCTACTAATCTTAATCTTATATTTCTTATCAGGGGTACCACGTAGGAACTATAACTTTGGGATTAGTAGTCAGGTAATTGGACCTTACTGAATAACCACAACTAACCATGATACGTTGGGCTAGTTGGACAAATACCATGGTTGGTCTTAGTACATTAAGACTAACTGGACAAATTAAAGGTAAGTATCACATGAATAATATAACAAGAATCATACTGTTATGCTACTTTAACATTAGATTTGGATTTGTGATTGGGTAAATTAAACAATAGTTTAGTTGAGATTTAATATATTGGAATTCAATAATACAAGATTATTTATTAGTTTCTGTGCAAAAAGAATTTTAATATTAAAAAGATTGTAAAGGACAAACTTAATCTGAAGCAAAGGGAAAAAGTAGGATTTATATAGTTTTTTACAATTAGAAATAACTAGCTCAAAGACCCGCGCTCCGCGCGGGGTATAATTAGAGACTATGAAATATTTAATATGAACTGACAAAACTTTGTATTTACAAGACTAAAAATATTAATTACAGTATTTATTATAGCTGTTTTTAAATTAATGTATCCGGCTAATTTTATGATTAATAAATCATATTTATACTTACGCACTATTCAAAGGGTATTAAATAATTAATTGTAAATAAGTACTTGAATTAAGTATTTATAAATAAGTATTTCATGATTTTAATTCTACTGATTAATGTTAACAAATCATCTTTATACTCACAGACTGAATTAATGTAAACGAAAAAAATGATTTGAAGAGTATTAGGTAGCTAATTGTAAATAATATTTAGTGATGAATATTTATGAATAAGTATTTATGTTCATATCATTAATTCTACTGATCAATGTTAATAAATCATCTTTATACTCACCTACTATTTAATAATTAATTATAAATAAGATTTAGAGTTGTACTTAATTATTATCAAAATCAGTTTATTGACCGTTTCCGACCATAATCTATATTACAAATATATTTACCAAAAAAATTTGACCCTACGTCGATTCACCCAGCCCACAAAGGTGCGAGTTGAGAGTTGGCTCACCCATCAGCCCAGCCATTAGGCCTGTATCACTAAACATAGACATCGTGTTGCGAACGGCACTATAGGAATGTTAACTGATATTGATTTAACATTCGTCACAGATAAGATATCAAAAATATAAATAAACAAAGTATTTTATTTCTATACATCTATAAGTTATCTTGAACATCATTTACCCTCAAGTTCCTAACTCTTTTATTTATCGTATTGATAACTTATACATGATTCAATATAATCTTTATGTACTACATAATATTATGCACTTTTAACACTTTAATCACAGCGATGAAGCTGCCTTATGATCATGTTCTAGTTATTATACAAAAATCGCCAGGTTATTTATTCTCTAAACTATAAAATAAATTATCTTTATACTAACAAATCGTTTAGGTAGATAATTATTTGTTTTTATACTTCTTTGATTTAGTAGCAAATCATACCTTTTTTACCGTTTTTTAAGTATATATATTTTTCACAATAATAAAGCAAATAAAATAATCATTTAGTAGTAATGTTTTATGCACTGTTCACGTGAAAAATTTCGCAGATTGTTTTACATAGGCTAGACCAATACTGTGTCAATACGAAATTATTCGTTATATTTATATAATAGAATATTTTTACATTATTTAAAAAAAAATTAACGAAACTAATTGACTTGAAGAATTACAGATGAACTTATTCACTTTCGTTGCCAATAACGATTATGTTAGAACCAGATGACTTTCTGGTATTATGAAATTTAGATGGTTCCTTATCTTTTTTACGGTTAAGTTCACCTTTTTTTTTACACCTTTTATTGTTGATTTTTTTATCAACAACTTTATTATTTTGTTTAACTTCAATTAGTTCATTGTCGATTTCAAAATTATTCAAACTTTCGTTAATACCATTATTTAAGATGTTTGCTTTTTCATTAGTCAATTGTTTTTCAAGAAGATCATTTGGTTCTTTCTTGGCATGCTTTAATAAATAAACTCATTTAATTCAGACGGAACTAATAAGTAAATTAATCTGATAAAATAATATGTAAAAACCTTAGAAATATCTTTATGAATAGATAAAAGCTTAGATCGAGCTGAATTTGTTGACGATGGTATTTCCTCATTCTTGATATCATATTCTCTTTTCTTGTTATTAAAATAAGTATTTACACAATTAATGTCTTGGGCGTAAACATATATATCATTTTCAATGAATTCTATTTGACCAACAATGAAAACTAATGTCTCTTTTGGACGAATAAAGCTTGCTAAGCCTTTAAAACAGGAATCTAAATATTGAAACACAACGTTAACTACAAAGTTGTAGTCTTGGCGAGAATAATCTGTCACGGAAACTTTAATAACGGAATCTTCTCTGTTCTTAAAGTCAGAGGTTTCTTGAACGATTCCAACTAATGAAACCTTTAAAGAATATTTGTTTGAAGTGGGAACTCTATCAAGAATTTTAAGGTGTGTGGATGTCGAAACTGTCATCTAGATAAAAATTTAGTTAATGAAATTCGACAACAAATATATTTAAGTATAATTAATTTAATTTACCCTTGGTCTTATATTGTTTTTATAAATATCTGGTACGATTTTGCTACTAATAGAAAAATATTCATCTTTTTGAAATGTTGCTTGAGTATCATGGTCTCTTTCTTCGAGATTAACTGGCACGAATTGAGTTAATTCTATTTCGCAATTTTCAACTCCTACGGGATAAAGTCCGATAGCCCATACTACGACTAAATTTTCTTTTACCGATTCAATGACAACTTTGATTTTTACAATTGTATCTGCGTTACAAGGCATGTCTAACAAATTGTTTATACTTAACAGATTTATTTTGCAAATAGCTATTTGAATTATTTTTTAAAATCGTATCTATTTATATACATTCTTTTAAAAATGCCAATTCATGTTTCATATTTGTTTAGCAGTTAAATTTTACACGTAAAAATCACACACCAATAATATTCAAACACAAATAAGCTTATTCGTGTAGTTTATGTTCTTGTTATGCATTAAAAGTACATATATACGTGGTATGTTAATACGTACTTATTATTTACTGTTTCTAAAAAAGGTTATTCGCGTTCTATATTTGTTCATTTTAATGGGCTGATCAGTTACATATACGTGTCCTTTCAGTATAAAGTAAGTATTTATATGATTAATATAGTAAAGATTGCTATGTATTGTATTAACAAAATGATAATTACCATATTTAGAGTATTCCGGAAAAGTTGAAACAGGTTCTAGATAGGCTGGAACTCGTCAAAGCAATCGTTACACAAAAAATCTAAGATATATTTAATACAAACTAAAAATCCAATCATTAATACTAAACAGAAGGGCTTGAAAGAGGTGTAAATTAATTTGGCCCAGCTTTAGGGTAGTTTCTTATCATCGGATGTTTTAATTTATTCAATTATTATTATTAGTGGTTCGATTATTCACGTTATCCAATAGTCACATTTTTAAAGAGAAGTACGTACCAAAGGATCACAGCCCGATTTTTTAATAAGAACATTTATTAACAACAAAGAGGAATATTAATCCGGATATTTAATTGTTTTGAAGTAACAGAATATTACGAACATTTACAGTCTTTACGAAAAGAAGTATTCGCTCAACATATCTACTTACATTATTTGCTAGCTACATATTATTATTATATAATATTAATTGATTCGACATTACTATTTATTATCTTATCATCACGATTCTTGGTAACCATATTGGTCTAAATCATTAAATTAATTATAAAATTTGTGAATTAGTCGAACAAAGCATTTAAATTAATGAGACAAGAGATAATACCTAAACGTAATTTGCACTTTCGAATAATATTATCAACTTTTGATTCAATAGTAGAGAAATAGTTACGATCATTATATTATAGAATATTGCATAGCTTTTTTAACATTAAAACGTAATGGTGCAAAAATTACTACGAAAATGATATGACAATTTATTTTTCGAAAATATGATGTCAAACAGTGTGAAATCAAACACGACTACTTCAAGTATATTAATAAACCAAATAATTAATCACATAAAATTTCTTTGTATACTACATTTCGAGTATAAACGCCCTGTTTACCAGAAATTTTACTATTTTTTACCAAAACTTTTATATTATAATAAGAATGAGCTTGCGAGAAGGTGACGTAAAGCTGACCATGTATGAATATATGCTCAGATAAGTAAAGTCCTATGTGTGAAATAGTTTGACCCTGTGATTTATTAATTGTCAAAGCAAAAGCAAGTTTGATCAGGAACTGTTTTCTTTTTAGAGTGAAGGGGAACTTGATATTATCCGAAAGAATAAATGGTATTCGGGGAAGGAACACTCGTTTTCCTCAATGACTACCTGTAACTATTTCAGCTTCAATAACGTTAGGATGGAACGCATGACATAACAACCTGGTACCATTACACAAACCATTGATCGGTTCTATATTACGAAGACATATAACTGGCGCGTTAACTTTTAAACGTAATTCATGAGGGGGAATATCAGATGTGGTTAAAGAATTAAGGAACTCTTGTTGTTAAAGGTTGTAGTTATTATTGGGAACAGAATCAAAGCTTCAGTATGTCACAGTATCGCCAATTAATTGGTCCAATATTACATTATTAACATAATCAACATATTCGTTTTTGGTAGTAAGGATAGCTCTGTCGGTAAAGTAAGAGATGTTTGAGGAATTGTTATGAAGAAACAGATATATTTTTTGAATGAGAACTTGTAAGGAATCTTCATTATCCCAGTCAATAACCATGTGATCAGGAATACGGATTATATCATTATTATCAAATGTTTGTTCAGTTCCATTTCTAATTCGTAATAAGAAGTTTCTGAAGTTATTGGCTTCAGGACTGTTTTCAACCCGCATATTCTGATAAAGATGAAAAATTTCTATTACAGACCATATATGAGAGGATTTAAAAGTGGCATTTATAATCTGTGCATGACCACCTCGTGGAATTACTGGTAAAATCTGATGAAAGTCACCACTGAACACAAATACTTTTCCATCAAACGGAATATCAGACCCCAAAAGGTCCCGTAAAGTTCGATCTAAAGCTTCTATAGAATAACAATTCATCATGGGAACTTCATCCCAGATGAATAGTTTAGCTGATTTTAGTAATTCAGTTAAGTGACTTTGCTTGCTAACAGAGCAAGTTGAATTAGAATCAGCATTTATAGGAATTTTAAACCTAGAATGTGCAGTTCGTCCACCAGGCATGAACAACACAGCAATACCAGATAAGACAGTAGCAAGCGCAATCGAAAAACCTGAATGAATTTTAGCTAATAAGCAAAGATAAAGGAAGGTTTTTCCAGAACCTGCAGGTCTATCGACAAAGATAGTAGCAGGTTGATTACTCTCAATATGATCTATAACTATATCAAATACTAATTTTTGATCTTCATTTAACAGTTCAATTTTTTCCAATCACTGGAAAATACAGGAATACTTAGCTCTTCTAATAATAACCTTGGCAGTTTATTCAAGTGATTATCATCAAGCAAGATGAGAGGAGGAAGATCATATATATCCAAAGATTTATTATGTTGTTCTAGATAATATTTGATCTGGAGAAGAACCGCATTAATTTGAAGATAACCAATGGGAACACCACTCCTCGCAAAATCTTCAGACATAGCAGTGAAACTATCATCCCACAGAGATCAAACATTATTTGGATCACAAAATAACAGTATGGTCGCAAATAATTGTTGTAATGCAGAAGGCATCTTAAATCGAGCAGCTTCTTGCATAGTCAAATGATATATATTTTCATTCTCTATAAGTCCTCGTTTCATCGCACAGTCTTTAAATGTTGAGCATAGGCTATTATTAAATGTTTTTAGAGCATCAAATGAGGTAGCTCCTCTAACATTATTGAGAAGCAAGCGTAAGTAATAACGATCTCCTTCACTCAGATTAACTGTATAAATTCTCCTAATTACTTCTCCTCGGCAACGTTTTGTCCATTTTTTATCAGTTTTATTCCAAACATAATATTGTGGAAATTCACGATACAAATATTCATATACATTTGGATCGATTTCATTCATCTTAAAATATTCAGTTAACATTGTCTTTTTGTTTCATTCGTTAGTAAAGATGTTATTTAAATCGGATGTTTGTGAAAAAGTTACGGTTTGTTGGTCAGGAAGATGGACTTGTAGACGAACTACTGAAGGGTTAATGTGAGACATATCAAACCCGAAAATTCTCCAACATGCTTCAGAAGCAGAAACCCACCGTGCATCTAAGTATCGACTGATTTCATCTCTGCTAGTAACTTGTAACATTGCACGATTATGACCCTTATAGACATACTTGTATAAGTACTTAATCGACTTTATACTCGAACATATTTTAACATTAATATGACAATCATATCTGAAAGAAAGATAAGGGTTGTACGGAACAACCCAACGATTGTCCAACTTTGCATTTCTAATTAATATATACAGACTATCTTCACGTCGTCGGTATACAGGATACGAATCGTCACCTTCTCTTGTTACCTGAACAAAGTCTTTCAGATAATGTTTAGTACATACCTCATCTTTCATACAAGGTGCATTAGGATTAAAGATTCCACACAGACTATGTACTATGAAAGTAGAGATTGTTCTATATAATCTAGGTTGCTGTTCTAGATCCGGTATTTCTGCTAATACGATCGCATCATAATCATCAGCCCCATGAAGTTTATCGTCATAACGGAATATTAATAACAAATGTACATGAGAAAAACCATGTTTTTGGAATTCAACCACATATATATGGGCAATTACTTGACCAAAAACACCTCTACTAAAAAGATCTTTTTTAAGTTCTTCTAATTTAGCACTAAAAATTCGAGCTGCAAAGAATAATATAAACAATTATCGACTGGTTATATCGTATTCATTTTATCTCATCTAATATACAGTTCAATCTACTGAAAGTTAATATACCAAAAATTAAATTTCACAAATAAATTACTTTGTAATAAAATTATTTCACAGAAAGTCTCGTTTCATAGACAGTTCATTCTGTAGATAATTTTTTTACTATAAAATACTCTAACCTTAACCTAACATTATCTAAGAAATAAACTGTCTATGAAACAAATTTTTCTAAAAAAAAAAATTTACCACAAAGTGATTTATCTACGAAATATAACTTTCTGTAAATTGTTTCCTGCGAAGTAGAATATTGTCAAGTGATTCTTTATAAATAAGTGCCACCTGTTATATTCACTAAACTAAAATAAAGCAAAAATTTACCTGTAAGGTCTGGTCTGTCTTGTGGAGTTTGCCTGGTAAAAGTTCAGACATGATCTCAGGCCAACGGGGGTTACATGTAATCATGATAAATATATCAGGCTTTCCGTAAGTATGCACTAATGCCATCGCATCCTGGTATCGTTGGTTCATATCACGCAGACCACCTACGAAAGATGAAGGCAAAATAACTTGATGACCCACTTCAGACGCATTGGTTAATTCAGATTGCAACGAATCTTGTAAGCCTTAATAAAGTTCACTACGAATTTTATCTTGGCCAAAACGAAAGTAGTTAAGACGCGTAGATTCGATCTTAACATAGTTATCAACAATGTATTGTTGAAAAAGATGGCTGCCATAAAAAAGTAACACGGAAGAAGATTCACGGAAGTGTAATTTGTATGCATAATATTGCCTGGTAGTGACTTTCTTTTGCGACATATTTTGTAGGATCTTAGGATGCCAACTATAATCACCCTGAGGAAAAAGAAGCGGATATTGCATTAGATCATAGGAACCACTCAGTTCAGAAACTTGTTTCAAACCTTGTGAATGTGATTCAACGATTATATCACGTTTGGCATAATCAACAGGATTATGGCCTTCTACTCACACAGCAGCAACTTGTGAAGCAGTTGGTGCATTATAAGTATGTTGATCTAAGCTATGATCGGCCTTGATAGAAAAGCAAAGATCAGTTACATTATTATAAGAAGAAATCGAGTGAAAGTTGGCTACAAAAGGATTTAATTGGTCTAAAACGGATTTGATAAATTCCAAAGTATCGTGACGAAGTTGAGGCATAATAGCAAGTCTATTATTTGTTTCTTGTTCAGTATCATAAATGTATAACTGAAGAAATTTTGGAACATCGTTAACCAGAAGAAGAGAACCAATAGAATGATATATTCCACCTTGCACTCGGAATGTGTAGACGCCGTTCCTGGCTAATTAAAAAGTCAGTATATGATAAAGTATAATGTTACAACAAAATTTCATACCATTTGCAAGATCTTCATCTAACTTGACTCCCATAAAAGTGAATGCGAAGATGGAATTGTAAGCTCTAATATTATCTCGAAAATCTTTCTCTACATCATCGAGCCTAGTAAACAAATCCTTTAAAGCTATTGTATTACCTGCAGAAGATAGTCTATAAAAGACAAATTAACATATACAATAATATTGTAGATAAAGTTCTGCATGTATCAGGCACAGAATTATTAAAAGATAATGTACGCATATTATGTTTTAACATACCATGTCTGGTACACATAGAAACCTAGTTCAGTTTATCTTTTTAACTTAATTAACAACTCACTTAGTTTTTCCCAACGCACAACATGTTCCTTGCATTTCGTATGAAAAAAGTCTGGCATCACAGTAAGTACAAATATGAACTGAATCAAAGATATGCCGAATAGAAGCAGTTGTTTCTCGAAAGTGGCGGCCAATATTAACATAATTTATATCAATTCTTTACAGAGGATATTTTTTTCGAAACCTTTGCATCAAATAAGTATTCACAATTCGACATTCTTCAACAGTTCGCAGGTGACAGGCATGACGAGGAGGCATTGTATAGACTATCAATTAGCAAACTCTAAATAAACTATATAACGGAAAAAAAAACCTATGCAGATTAAAATAAATAAACGGTTAAACAAATAAATTTAAAAAAGTAAAAGTAACAATAATCAACTGAAAAAATAAAGAAAAAAAAACACTAAAAAACATATTAAACTACAAAGCTTTATTACCGTGAACCTTTATATATATCGTTATTTAAAAAGCACAAAGCAAATAATCTATCATTATTATTAAAAAATACAAAGCAAAAAATTTATATCGTATTTATAAGTGTTCTATTATAATAATCAGATTTATCAATGACGATTCAGAAATCCAAAGGTTATTTATTTCTGATCATAACATATCGAATCATACAGTAATACGTATAAAAAATTTAGGTTGTTTCTTTATCTCCCACGTCTGTTTCAACACACTTCAAGCCTCAAGACCTATACTGATCATCAAAACCCTAATATAAAGTTGCTAGAACATCATATCAATCGTTTAAAGAATCCCGTACTTTGTGACAACATATCGTGAAGCTCTAATACCACTCTTCATATTTCAAATATCGTAACACAACACCAAATAAAGCACATTTACCGAATCAAAGTCAAGTATAAATTTTTTTACAAATTGTATCTTTAATCAGTATATCCGTAATATGTAATACCAAATCAAGCAATACGTTGTAAACATGATAACAAGTCACACGTATGCACGCATGTACCAAATCAAAAACTAAGCCACAACACAAATAAGACACGTTTACTATTTAATCAAACTAACCAAAAAAATTTTAACTACAAACACAATAAACGGAATCAGGTTTATCATTTAGACCAATCAAAAA